ACGAGTCCCGTTTTCAGTGCAAAATATTACTAGAATGTCTTCGTTTTCAGCTCAAGATATTCTGCCAACCTTAAACAGAAAGCTCAGATTATGCAGCCTAACTGTAAAGCATAATAGACCACACCGATCGCTTCTTGAAGAGTGTTGAATGTTGGATTAAGAATCGACATCACAGCACTCGGGACACTGCCATAAGTGCTGGCGTCTTGAAGAATGTTGAATGGTGAATTAGGAATCAACATCACAGCACTCTCCCATAAGGGCTCGCTTTTTGAAGAATGTTGAATGTTGAATTAAGAATCTACATCACATCACTCGCGACACTTCCATGAGTGCTCGGTTCTTGATGAATAAACGCAGAAGAAAAAGTTTCCACTTTAGAATATATTACCATGGAAGCCCAAGTTAATGATCAGAATCTCTGATTCATGGAGGACTCGATACAAAACTAATCGGGACTCAGGTCAACCCACTAGCCTACCAGGCTAACTCTCACAGTGACTGACTATTAGTTTTTAATCACAGGTAGACCAGCTATGTGTCAAGAAACATTAAAATCGATACTGACCACAAATCGGCGATCAATATCGATGTATTAGTGTGCTTGCAAAGAAGATTCCGAGACGGAGACATGAGTATAGATCTTTACAACACATACATAATGTGTGAGTTAAAATCATTGCAGTAAGCGCATTTAAATTTACATACTGTAGACTATAAAATATCTCTTGGGTTCGGGTCTAAACGGTAAAATGACCTTGGCTTCCACGTCGACCAAGCTAGAGTGGGTACTAGGTCAAGTCCTTGGAAGTAAAGGAAACCTACTGATCTATAAAATATAGGTCTAGCCTTAAACGACCAGTACGCCTGAGGGCTGTCTTATACTTTACTTTTTACTATGTGTAGCCTAACGTAGCTACAGAACCTGTGCGCTGTGCTGAGTTTCATTGGACTCAGATTTGAGTTAGAAGAAGAACGGAGCACTTATGGGTTACTACCCGTGTGCCATGATGTTGATCCTTTGTCCAAACTTCAAACTTCAAACTTCTTACTATGTATGGTTTGGGAGACAAATTGGTTCCCATGTTCTATTTTTTCTTTGGGCTGGAACTCAGCCTTGCCCCCCCCCCCCCCAGCCCACCTCTTCCACATCACCCCTCCCCTTCTAAGAATTATTCTCTCTGTATGTGTGTGGGGAGGGAGGGGGTGTTTGGCTCAAGGTGCCTGCTGCCCAGGATTCCAAAGCCTATTTTTTAACATCATTATATCATGTAGACACTTTTTTTGCATTGTTTTACGAAGACCGTCTTCATCTGACGTTCTTGGCTTCTCACTCACAGCAAGATTTAGGTGTAGTGTTGGCAAAGTACAGACTCCAGTGTTTTAATCATATCTATGACCGGCATTTACAAGCGCGTTCTTTGACCCGGTTTGGGGGAAGGGGGAGGAGCAAAACCGAAGGGGACTGGGTTGTCTCGAGGCAGGGTGTCCGCCTGGAGTGCTAGAGGTTCAGGGTTCATTCTCCGGTAAGGGCTGGGTTTTTGTTCATGTGGATTTGGATTTCTAGTAATTCTTCCTGGTCTCTGGGTAGTCAGATCGGACGCCTGGGCGCATTGTTGCGAACGTGCATTGGCAGTTGGAAATGGAAAAGAGTAGCCAAACGGCGCTGCCCGGGCATAATTTAGAGGTAAAAATCTACCCAAAGTATTTCAGTATCCTCGCCAGCGCTATAGAGCCTGTGCATTGTGCTGCGCTTCTTCGGACTCAAAAAACTTTAGTTAGAAGAAGCACGGAGCACTTCTGGGTTACTATCCGTGTGCCGTGACGTTGATCCGTTGCTGAAACCTCAAACCTCAGACCAAGACCGGCAAGAATAGAATAGACCCACTGTGCCACTAATAGGCAAGTCATAGCAGGTGATTAATTACGTGTTTAGCGATGTAGCGTTGAGGACATGTAGCGAGGAAAGGTGCAGATATCGCAGCTAAACTGTAAACCGTACTACAACGTGGCACAGCCACTTTAAACATGGGTCTAACTGATAATTAGAACTTGACAGGTTATCATGAACAGCAGAGGACCACCGATAATCAGTAGGAAGATTCTCCGTCGACGAATGTTTCGGCCCCTTACCATTCCTAGACAATCTCAGAGACTGGGCTGTTCTGGGTCATGACTCCCAGGCCTCGATCTTCACCTGCTGCACTTTACCGGATGTTCTCGGACAGGGTCAGGAAGATATGGTCATTTGTAACAGGTGCTGTGAGAATTATTGATATTGTCGGACCAGCTTTCGGTTGGTTCATTGGATATAGAAAGAGATGTGGCAAGCACAATCTTGCTACTGAAATGTACAATCCATAGTAATCTACAAACTGTACTGAAGTGTACCACGACGGTTCTAAACTTGCAATGGAGAATATACTTTTATTTTCTGCGTTAAAAAAAAAAAAAAGCTCTATATATTTTTATAAGCTTTTGTTTCTGTTTAACTGTTTTCTGGTTTAAATTTTGTGTAGGTCAGGTCCTGGTCAGATGTGACTGAGCTACCGTAGAACAGTGGCCGATACCACCTGTCTTCTGTTAAAACCGAACGTTGGGTGGCTGACAACCCATTTTGGGCAAACGGCTATGGGCGGAGAATCGCATTGGCGAGGATACTAGCATTATCCTAGGAGTAGGAAATGTAGCCTGAAAACTTGATGTTATGACGGAGCAGACCAGACCCTTAGTCTTGCCTGGCAGCTAGTCTATGAGAGAAGATGAAACAGGCGGACAGATAGAGCACCATTGCTTTTCTGATCCGGTAGCTTTTGCAGCCTGCTTTGTTCCACATGTACTTTTGTCACTTTTCCTTTGGAGTAAGCAAGGCATATCGAGAAAGAGAAAAATAGATAGATAGATAGATAGATAGATAGATAGATAGATAGATAGATAGATAGATAGATAGATAGATAGATAGATAGATAGATAGATAGATAGATAGATAGATAGATAGATAGATAGATAGATAGATAGATAGATAGATAGATAGATAGATAGATAGATAGATAGATAGATAGATAGATAGATAGATAGATAGATAGATAGATAGATAGATAGATAGATAGATAGATAGATAGATAGATAGATAGATAGATAGATAGATAGATAGATAGATAGATAGATAGATAGATATAGATAGATAGATAGATAGATAGATAGATAGATAGATAGATAGATAGATAGATAGATAGATAGATAGATAGATAGATAGATAGATAGATAGATAGATAGATAGATAGATAGATAGATAGATAGATAGATAGATAGATAGATAGATAGATAGATAGATAGATAGATAGATAGATAGATAGATAGATAGATAGATAGATAGATAGATAGATAGATAGATAGATAGATAGATAGATAGATAGATAGATAGATAGATAGATAGATAGATAGATAGATAGATAGATAGATAGATAGATAGATAGATAGATAGATAGATAGATAGATAGATAGATAGATAGATAGATAGATAGATAGATAGATAGATAGATAGATAGATAGATAGATAGATAGATAGATAGATAGATAGATAGATAGATAGATAGATAGATAGATAGATAGATAGATAGATAGATAGATAGATAGATAGATAGATAGATAGATAGATAGATAGATAGATAGATAGATAGATAGATAGAGATAGATAGAGAGAGAGAGAGAGAGAGAGAGAGAGAGAGAGAGAGAGAGAGAGAGAGAGAGAGAGAGAGCTGGGAGGGGGCAGAGATTATTTTTTTTAGTATGAGCACCATTATACATCATAAAGAGATTTGATGATGCATGTTCGACTGCACTTAAAATTACACAGAAACGGCGAAAGGCAGTCACTACAACCACAGCCAGGGTATAAATTGTCAGCATTTCACAAATTCTAGATTAGAGACAGACAGAAAACTACACAGCATAAGAAGTGATCTTATTCTTAACCTTTCAATCAATTACTATTGTCAGATATATATACCAACGTCACCAGCTGAGATTCCATTCTATAGCTGGGTAACACATTACATGAGTTAGTGTTGCTAACGAGGAAAGATCGACTTAGGAACGATGATATCAGGAGGAGAATCAGCACAGAACCAATACTGAACTTTATAGCTAGACAACAGGTTAAATGGTTTGGCCATGTATAAAGACTGGCGTGAGACTGGGGACCACATAGAACAAAGTTGTGTAGATACAGCGGTAACAGAGCCAGAGGTCGTCCAAGTACAAGATGGACCACACAAAAATCAGAGACGCTCAATTGTACTATATACAAAGCGAACAGAAGAGACCATTCCATTGATCTCTTCTTACCCTGACGCCGTGAGGCATTCCAGGAGCAAAGAAAAGAAGAAGAAGAAGTGTTGCTATTCACACTCGCTATCGATGTGAGCTGTAATTCCAAAGACTGCACTTAAAACATGTTAAGACTATCGTATGGAAAGACATAAAATACCAGAAACTGCTTGAAATGACTCATGAGTTGAGAAATACAAAAACTATTAGGCAAGGATATCAAACGATATCTGTTGTGGTTTTTCTAAGGCAAATTTTATGTTCATTAGTTTGTCATTGCCTATTAAACGGTCAACTTTCGGTACTACTGTAGATAGCAATGAAAGGCAAATCGTCCGCTGGGATCGAATCCGGGAACCCGGCATTACGAAACTCCATTGCAACGCCCAAGTCACAGACGTCTACAAGTGTAGGCAGGTAGTTGTACTACACCAGAACATCACACATGCGATAAATACCCAGTGACACAAAGTACCTACATGCCGATGAAGATCACCCTGTGGAGAGGTCCCAGAAACTCCTTTCGGCCTAAATTCAGAACCACCGGCAAAAGCCAGGATGGGGCTTCAAATAACACAAAATTGGATCCCACAAGGAGACGAATCAATAACAGGACAAGAGTATGATAACTTAGAACAAAATGCAACATTATAAACAAGAGAAACACTTACCTCTTTGGCAGAGACTTTGGTACGGAGAGATGCTTGGTGTGTTTTTAAAGTCCAGGCTGGGGGACATCTCCGAGTTCCTCCAGGAGTTGTCCAGGACGTTCAGTCGCTGGTGGTTGTTGCATGTACAGGAAATAGCACAGCACGATCTTTGAGGGTCATCTCTGGCGCAGGGGTCAAATTCTGACCGGTTGTTGTTGGCAGCTGTTTTATAAAGAAGTCCTTCATATCCGGACTTCATGAAATTGGAATCCCGTGGTACATTAGGGCTCTCGGCAGAGTTTATGGGGTTGAATTTCCAGTCAGTTCCGTTGGACTGTTTGGTAGCGCCACTATCTGTTTGAAAGGGGTATACTGATGGTGAGGCAAAGTACCCTGATGGCCAAGAGGCGGGGTACATGCTGGGGTAGTTTCTGTCACAACTTGTTGTCTCCGAATAGGCTGATGGCAAGTGCCAGCCACGGAAGGTGTACGGATTCATGACGAAATGTTAAATGTGAGGATAGATATAAAAGCCAGAAAGTTATCCACAAGTGTCTAGTTTCGTTGCCAGAGAGGCTGAATGCCAACAAAAAAAAAAGGTCTCCAAACTTGTACGAGCGAATAGATGTGACTAACTTTCAAACTGCAAAAGGTGATTGTCAGAAAGATACCCACAAATATCTAGACGCGACCACCTTGCGTGCTTGTAAGTCAAACCCAATATTAATTTTTTATAGGGCTTAAATACATATGGCTTCTTTGTGACACGTTATTTAGTCAACCACTTTCATTTTAATTAGTTTTTATTCATTCGTTTGAACAATCTCATGAAAATATATCATAAGAAACAAAACCTTTCGAAGTTTTTTTTTTTTTTTTTTAATATCTTTAGCACTGAAAGTATAAACTTCGATTTTAATGTCCTTAAATTACAGAATTATCAGTCTGAATAGATACTGATATTTTTTTCTATAAACACTTATAGCCTATGTGTTCTTTGAAAACGAGTATTGCCAGCTTGTGAAGTATTAAATCAATGTAAATGACGGAACATTTCACTTTTACAACAAGCTTGGAAGATCCTTCAATATGTCAGCTCTATAACCTATAGATGTCTGGTATATGCCTGCCATTTGAAGAAGGTTCCATCTGAACTTTTGAGATCTGAGAATGTGTTGCTTGAAATCCAGGAGGTGAATTTTGTTCCACTGCTGATGTAGCTGGCTTTGAATCTGTGGATACACGGAAAAAAATAAAAAAGAATGTTAATTTGCTGTTACCACAGTCAAGGAAATCATGATTTTTCCGGAGTTAACATGCGCGAATCTACAAAAAGGCAAACTTTGATCAGTTTCTAGAGCATATCTAGGAGAATGGAAATCGTGGGATTGTCTGCATGTCTAAGAGGGTCGACAAGCATGTGATTGTCATAATGTCTGGGAGGATGGTAATCGTGGGGTTGTCAGCATGTCTAAGAGGGTCGACAAGCAAGGGATTGTCATCATGTCTAAGAGGGTCGACAAGCATGTGATTGTCATAATGTCTGGGAGGATGGTAATCGTGGGATTGTCAGCCTGTATAGAAGGGTCGACAAGCATGGGATTGTCATAATGTCTGGGAGGGTGGTAACTGTAGGATTGTCAGCATGTCTAGAAGGGTCGACAAGCATGGGACTGTTATAATGTATGGGAGGGTGGTAACCGTAGGGTTGTCTGCATGTCTAGGAGGTTCGACAAGCATGGGACTGTTATAATGTATGGGAGGGTGGTAACCGTGGGGTTGTCTGCATGTCTAGGAGGTTCGACAAGCATGGGACTGTTATAATGTATGGGAGGGTGGTAACCGTAGGGTTGTCTGCATGTCTAGGAGGGTCGACAAGCATGGGACTGTTATAATGTATGGGAGGGTGGTAACCGTAGGGTTGTCTGCATGTCTAGGAGGGTCGACAAGCATGGGACTGTTATAATGTCTGGGAGAATGGTAATCGTGGGGTTGTCAGCATGTCTGGAAGTGTCGAAAAATGTGGGGAATTAAGATGTCTGGGATATTCAACAAAGCTGCAATGTACAGTCAGCAAATGTAAGAAGGATCAAGTGTCAATAAGGATCTATATATTTGGGAAGGCCACAAGTCTACAGTGAGCAAATGTAAGAAGGATCAAATGTAAATAAGGATCTATAAATTTGGGAAGGTCAAAAGTCTAGTCAGCAAGCCTGGAATGGCATTCAGGTCTAGGAGAGTCGACAAGGCTACGTGTGTCAAAACTCAACAAAATTAACAAACAATTTGATCTTTTCTTTTTCAAATGAATTTCCTGCATGGTGCTGTTCTTGCTCATACAGTCTGTCTGATAAAATAATTTCTCAGGGTGTGTCGGATGGTTAAGCTGGCGCCTTTTCTCTGGCATTTCATTTCACAGGTGTTAATTTTATTAAGTTAGCCTTTGATAATGTCTAAGTCTAGCACTGGTAGCACACTGTACGTATTTATTGGCCGTTTATATTCTCTTTCGCAGCGCAATAAAAATAATACCAAGCGTAAAACGTGTATGGGTTTCGTGGTCCTGTTTTGAAGCTACGGACATAGATCCACCATCCCGTTTGCCAGCATGCAGTTAAAAAATAATTTAAAAATGGTTTTCTGAATATATGTTTCCATGAGAGATGCAGATAACGCAGTCTATCTGTAAACCACAACACATCGTGCCAGCCACTAGTCCCAGTGTGAAGCGGAAGAAGTATAGAAGGAAGAATTTTGCAAAACAAAAGACAATTAAAAAATAAGATGATCTATGCATCTGTAAAGGATGGACACCTAACACGAATGCCCTGGTAGTATCTGCCACAGCGAGCCACACTAAAACGTTACAACGGGTATAGAGCTAGTGGAAGACTTCGGAAAATATGGAGTGATGGCATTAAGAACAGCCTTACAGAAGATCAGTCTTAATAGTGCTCTTGACGGAGCTTATTACGAATGTTACATCTCCCCCCAAAACTTAACTGTGGTACAAGGTGGAAGAGAAGAAGAAGAGGAGAAGAAGAAAGGATGTTGTGTCTAGTAGTGGTAAAACTTTTCTTAAACTAACGATCACTGTGCGAAACTTAAAGCATATCAACGGAAATGAATATGCCTCGTGCCTGTTTAAACAACATTGATCTCAGTATTAAGAGAAAGAAAACATTGAATTATTGCTCAAGTAATTCTAAATAAAATCTCGTTGATAAAAGGTGTAAGATTTAGTGGCTCAGGATGTTGTTCTTCAATACCCATTTTCATTGGGAGAATTTTATTGATACGTTACTAGTAAACAATTGTTGGGTAACATTTTATTGTCATATACTGACGAGCGATTCCAGATGCGAGGAATACAAAGTTAATACAGAGGCAACACACATACATTCAATCAAGCAATCAGCAGCCGTCTCCGCAATGAATAGTGCTCACAGCTGATCTATTTTAATACGATTCCTTTCGCCCTAGCTTTTTAACACTGCTGTTGGCTAAAATTAAGTTATCCTCCCTTTTGTATCGCTATCTGGCTCTTACTAGATTACGCAGCCCCCCCCCCCCTTTCCCCATACGCCTCCCTCCCCGACCCACTCTTCTCGAAATTTCCCAGTGTGGTTTTAATATGCCTGTAATATAATGGACATTGTTCAGAATCTTTTCTCATTTCCATTAGGAACTTGTTTTTGTTTGTTTTTTGTTTTGTTTTTGGTATACATAAAATAATTGCAATGCTTCTACACGTACACGTACACGCAAGCAGGCACACAGTCACACATTTTGTGTGAACAAACAGCACTGACATAACTGTGATAACATATCGTATACACATTGCATAAGATTATGTATGCCGACTGCATGGAATGATTAACAGTAAATACTGACAGAAATTCAAGAGTGGGAACTCAAAACTTTGGAACAGACACCATAGACTACAGTAGATGTGCTACGGACATGATGTTTGCAATTGAGAGATCTCAGGTTTTAGTTGTCTCAGGTTTTATTTATGTTTATTCAAGAGATCAACATCATGGCACCCGGGTAGTAACCCATAAGTGTTTCATTCTTCTTCTTACTCAAGACGGGATCCTGAAATACTTTTGGGGTAGCTTTTTAACTCCAAATTTTACCCGGGCAGGGCCGTTAGGCTACTCTTTTCGATTTCCCACTGCTAAGGGATTTTATTTTTAATGTGCGCAACAATACACACCGGCGTCCACTCTTGCTAATCAGAGACCAGGGGGAAATTACTAGAAGTCCCTCACTGGACCTTAAATCCGAGACCTCTAGAACTCGAGGCGAACACTATGCCACACCAAATATGTTTCGATGTTTTAATAACGGTGTCAGTTGGCATATAAGCTTACTGGCTAATAGTCATCTTGTTATATAGTAGTCTTTGGTCATAATCACCTTGAACGCTCTGCCGATGGGCGCATGTTGTCATCTTACAAGAGACGAGAATCACGGATCCGGTTAGTCCATATGTGGGATACAATTGTTCGTTATTTGAAACCCCACCACGGCTTTTGCCGGCGGCCCTGAATATAGCCAGGACATAAATATGGCTTACGGCTGAAAGGGGTTTTCTTGGACCTCTCCATGGGTGATCCTCATCCGCATGGTGGCACTTTGTGTCACCGTGTGTTTATCGCGTGTCTGATGTACTGGTGGGGTACAACAACAAGAGAGAGAGAGAGAGAGAGAGAGAGAGAGAGAGAGAGAGAGAGAGAGAGAGAGAGAGAGAGAGAGAGACAGAGACAGAGATCAGGCTAGAGCTACTATCCATATGGCTGAGTTATCCAGGTATTTATCTCTTCGTCGTTCCTGTGGTCTCGCTTATTCAATCTTGCCAGTTCTAAGCAACGTCAATTTCTTTCACAGCATTCATCCGTTTCCCTCCCTCCCCCCACCCTTCTTCTTCTACCTCCGCATTCCGAGCTTTGAGGTTCATTGCTGCAGATATCACCCCCTCCACTCATCTATCTGTTTGGCCATCTCTTTCCAGTTGGTGACACCAGGTGTTTGCAGGTCTGGACATTATCTCTCCATGTTCTCCTTGGTCTGCCTCGTGGTCTAAGACTATTCATTTCCCTTCTGCATATAGTTTTTACTTATCTGTCATCTGACATTCTCTCAATATGCCCCCAGACATTTTAGTCTATTAACTCTCAGGATCCAGTGATCAGTAGTGATTTAAAGAAATTATGAATTTCGTTGCTGCTTCTCACTCTCTATTCCCCGCTGTTGCGTCTTTGATGAATTCCAAAGATTCGTAGTGAGACTCTGTTTTCGAAAACCTGTAATATCCCTTTTTGTTGTTTTTCACTTTTCAGAGCCATATAAAACGACGGATCTTTTCCACACACAAAAGTGTGCACCAAATATTGATAGTCGATATTTAATTTTCATCCGTCGATTGGATTATAAAAACGGCGAGACCGTGTCATTTGTCCGACAAACGATAGCCGTGTAAATTTTCCTTCACTG